TGGATGTTTTTCTTTGTAAGAAAAGGGTTCCGTCTTCCGACCCAACCCCATAGTCCAGACTTATGGAGAACACGGGAGATTGTTGTCACATGTAGTACATAACCTGAACTTGCCAGGATTCCTGCAGCTCCTTCAGTGTTGCTATACGTCTCTCGGCTGCCTCCCTGACCAGTTTCTGTCTTGTCTTTTCATCAGTTTTGGAGGGATGTCTAGTCCTCGGTAACATCACTGTTGTCCCATATTTTCTCCACTTCTTGATGACTGTCTTCACTGTGTTCCATGGTGTATCTAATGTCGTACAAATGTTTTTGTACATTTCTCCTGACTGATACCTGTTAGCAATGAGATTCCTTTGATGCTTTGTAAGCTCTCTGTGAACCATGGCTTTTGCTGTAGGATGCAGCTGAGTAAAGTCAGGAAAATCCTACTAAGCCAGCTGAACTTTATTTGGGGTTAATCAGAGTCACTTTAATTGATGGCAGGTGTGTCCCCAAAAAGACTGAGTACTGTCATTAAATCAAAAGGCACTTCAACAAAGTATTAGTTTAAGGGTGTGCACACTTAGGCAACCAGCTCATTGTTAGTTTTTTATATATATAGGCTATATATATATATATTTTATTTTATTTTTTTCTACCCCTAACAGACTTGTTTGTATTTCAGATTAATTGTACAGGATATAGGTCACATTAAAGGTGGGAAAAGTTTGGCATCGTAAAACTCCGAGGGTCAGCCTTAATAAATTGGCTTTAGATTACAACCAAGGAGGACTCAGGCTTCCCAATTTTAAAATGTATTATTGGGCAGCCCAGTCCAGGTATTTGGCTCAGATGTTTGCCGGGACACCTTTTCCCTCTTGGCTTAATATGGAGAAATTTGAGATAAAAGAAGATTGTCCAATCAATATAGTGTATACATGGGATGATGTGCTGATAAAAAGAAAAACCAGTAATCCCATGATTATTCAGTCAGTTCAAACTTGGAATAAACTGCGGTCGCTACTGGGAAAGGTTCTTATTCTTTCTCCTAGAACGCCTTTATGGGCAAACAGAATGCTTCCAATGTGTTATCAAAACAAAGATGTTAGGATTTGTTTCGAGAAGGGTATTACACATTTGGAGCATTGCTTTGATGATGGCATTTTAATGTCATTTGCACAGATAAAGGAAAAATATAATTTGAGTAATCAAGAATTTTTTAGTTATCTGCAATTACGAGATTGTTTAAGGGTCAAATTAAAAAGTTTTCCTAAGATACCTGATTTGACAGGATTCGAGCAAATCTGTTATTCTGATAAACCACTGTATAAAACAATCTCTAGAATTTATGAATCTTTGATCTCAAGTCAACCTTTAGGTGACGCGGACAAATCCAAAAGTAGATGGGAGCAGGATTTGGAGATAGGAATAGATGGGGATCTATGGGGTGAATTATGTAAAGATGTGGTCACTTCAACTTTGAATTCTAGATACAGATTAATTCAATTTAATTTTTTACACCAACTTTATTATACTCCATCTAGATTGCATAAATTTAATAACAGTATCTCACCACTTTGCTTCAGATGTGGTACAGAGGAAGGAACATTTTTACATTCTACCTGGTTGTGTCCGAAAGTGATGGTGTTTTGGGTACAAGTATGTAACATTATATCGCAAATTCATGGACCCAGAGGTGTGTTTACTAGGTCATTTTACCAATTCTAACCTCCGACATAGTCACATGATTAAGCTGACTGAAGTTTTGTTAATAATAGCTAAGAAACGTATTGCTCTGAAATGGAAAGCAGGCATTGAAGTGTCGATTGGATTGTGGTTGTCGGAGGTGTGTAGTTGTGTACCATTAGAAAAGATTACATATTCTATGAGGGGCAGGAGTGAATTGTTTTATAAAATCTGGGACCCCTTTTTGAATTATATAAAAACAGTACCACAGGATTTGATTTGATAAGTGCCGATTGTTAAACTGACATTTTATCTGTTAAATATGTTACACTTGTGATATTTATATAGTATCTCTCTCGATGTCAAGGATTTTTTTTTTTTTATTATTTTTTCCATTTTGTGTTCGGTCTTTTGGATGTTGATATTATGTTTGTAAAAAAGCAAAATAAAATTTTCCAAAAAATAAAAAAAAAGGTGGGAAAAGTTTTGAAATGATTTATCGTGGTCTAATTTCAACAGGGGTGTGTACACTTTTATATCAACTGTATATCCTATTTTTTATTTTCTCATTTGCACTATGACTATGTTCTGTGACAAAACAGTAAGGACTGTAACACACCAATGGTATGACTAAGAAACTATTACTAATGTCATGCAGATGAGCCAAATCATTTTGAATAACATTGACTGTCTTGAAAAATAGCAGATGTCAAGGTCTGGGTATATTAAATGGTAAGGCAGCAGTCGGCATGTCGAATGCTGAAGAAATCGGCAGGGATATAGATCTGAGTGCCTTTGACAAGGACCAAATCATTATGCCGACTGGGTCACAGCTCTGCAAAATGGCAAGGCTTGTGCGGCGCTCACAATCAGCCGTGGTGAGTACCTACAGAGAGAGGTCTGGGGATAGAAACACCATGACTGGGTTTTGAGCAGCCCAGCCTCCTCGATGCAGGATGTGAGCGAGGGCTATCTCGTCTGGTACATCCTAGCAGAAAGGCTACTGGGGCACAAATGGCAGATAATTTTAATGATGGTTACAGGAATAACATGTCATGACACGTGCATGGAGCCCAGCTCTATATGGGCCTATGGATCGGACTTGTCGGTCCAATGCATCCCGCAAATTCTCAACATGCACCCGGCCATGATGCAACAGAATACTGGATTCGTCAGCCCAGGCCACCTTCTTACATAACTCCATGGTCCAGATCCAATGCTTTTGTGCCCATTGTAGTTGCTTTCGACGGTGGACAGGGGTCAGCACTGGCTCTCTGACTGACTTTGTGGCTACACAGCCCCATACGCAATCACACGCTGTGTTTTGCAGCACATCACTCGCACAATCATCAGCTAAATCATCTGCCGTTTGTGCGCAATCCTCAGGTGCGTACCACGCGGGACGGCCGATCCTCATTCACATCCCGCACGACTTAGTCAGTGGATCAGACCGCTCTGAGTAGGTACCCACCATGGCAGACCATAAGCACCCCAAGGGCCTTGCTGCTTCAGAGATGCAAATGTAAGTTTTCAGGTGTAGATTTTCAGGTGTAGATTTTTAGGTGTAGATTTTTAGGTGTAGATTTTTAGGTGTGGATTTTTAGGTGTATATTTTCAGGTGTAGATGTCCATCCATGAAATGTTTTTGTGAAGCACTAATAAGATCTATGAAAGACTAAACAGAGTAAATAAGATCAAAGAGTTATCCTGCTTACAGGGTCAAGCGTCTTCTGCATTGACCCTTTCCTTTGCTTCCATTAGGTGGCTTTGCTTAAATTTGTCTCAAAATCAATACAATAATGCTAAACACAACCCTGAATATAACAATGCCATATGTACCATATACTGTATCATCAAGACTTTGTTATTTTTCCAGAAACTCTTGAAATCTACAATCTGTAGCTGGATAAAATGAGCTGTCTCTGTACTCATGTCATCATGAAGGATTTTAGGACTCAGAACACGCATCCCACACGGAAGAATACATCCGATGCGCTGGAAGCACGATACGGAGTGTTGGCCGTGGCACGCTACCTTCTTGTCCTGCTTGAAGGGGTTCCCGAACGTGTGCATCCGCTTGGGCTGGTCGGGGTCAATCTCCCGCAGGGGAGAAGGCATGGCCTTCAGGTATTCCTGGTAGTTTCCCATCTGAGCGACCGGAATGCTGTGCAGGTAGTCTGTGGAGCAGCGGGAAAGCGCCGGAAAGGTCATGACACAAAGGCGGGACCGTTAACATTTACTCAGAGTCCGGAGCCTGCTGAACAAGGAAGAAGAGAGCGTAACTCCAATTGCAGCCATAACCTCGACCGTAACTCTAACCTTCATCCTGGCCGCGAATGAGCTTCTGTGTGGTGCGTAGCAGGTTAGTGCGCATGCGCGTCAGCTGATCCAGAAGGTTCCGGCGTGAAATATCAAAGGCGTTCCGGTAGGCCTGGGGTTTAACGTCCTGAGGACAGGAAAAGAAAAGGCGCAGGTCTCAAACAGATGTCCGTAACGGGCGGCTGCACTCCACCCCTCAAGTGCTTTGCCGAAAGGTGGCCAGCACCTTGCTGAGCAGCGCGATCTGGAAGCCGGCAAACTCCTTGGCGCTGACGTCGGGCAGGGGGGCGTCGCCGGTGACACACCGCAGCAGGTGCTTGAAGTCGCAGCCGTGAGACAGCGACGGGGCGCTCGAGTGCTTGCCCACCTTGATGCCCATCTCCTGGGGGGGCCTCTTGCCCACGGACACAATCAGGCGATCAGACTCTATCTTGGCCTGGGGGGGGTGGGTGAGACACCCAAAGACATGGAGCGAGCACTTAGCAATGGAGCTTTCAGCTGAGACATGGGATAGATGGGGGGGCAGGGGTGGGGTTTGGGTGGGGTTACCTGCTGACTCAGCTTTTTCAGGTAAGAGATGACGCTGTAGCTCAGGCCGCAGTCGATGTTATCAGAGATGAGGTTCGGGGCTCCCATCATCCTGAGTGCTTTCTTCAGGGGCTTTGTAACAGAGAAACAGACAGGGCTGCCTACGTGAGACCGCAGGACTGAGACCGCAAGACTGAGACCCTCTGAACTGTCATAACATCATGCGCCCAGAAGTAAGACCGAGTCAGCAGATCACGGGCGTTTCCCTCCTCAGGCCGCACTGAGGTACCCACCACGGCAGACCATAAGCACCCCAAGGGCCTTGCTGCTTCAGAGATGCCCTGTATCAGGTGTAGATTTTCAGATTTTCCAGATGGTCCCAGCCAGGCTTGGGACCATCTAGAATGTCTTTACATCAGTGGTCCCCAACCTTTTTGCCACCACGGACCGGTTTTATTCTGTTAACATTTCCATGGACCGGGAAACTCTGTTATCCGTCCAACATCTGCACTTTCTGTCATGCTGTTATGATGATTAGATGTTTATTTTACCATCTGAATTATTCATCAGTGCACACATGTAAGCCTCTGTAGCTGGAAAAGGCTGGGGCAGCCCCAGGACAACTGCCAGGGACATTATGACGGCGGACAAACCACAAGCACTGACACACTTCCCACCTGCCTGCCGGCCTTGTGACCAGCCTCATTCTCTGTCATCGTCAGGTGCTCTTTTGTGACAATGCAGAAATGCAGTCATAATCCTGCATTTAGTCAGGGGACGGTTAAAAAATCTATTCATTTAAGGAACTACTGGCATTAAATCCATATTTTGTTTCATAATCAAAGGATAAACTATAACGTGTTTATAAGCCTTGCAGAACACAAGGACCCTCGGGGTGACTCCTCCTAAACCGTCCCTGAAGCCGGCGTGCACATTTACATGGGGCACAGGGCACAGACTGACCAGGAGGTAGTAGGGAGGCAAGGTCTTCAGGTAGGTCTCAAAGGCCTGTCTCCACTTCAGGTTTGGCTTCAACTTGTGCACCTTGAACAGGTCATCTGCAGGCAGTAGACACGGGGGCACACAGAGGGGACAGGAAGAGACACAGAGGGGACAGGAAGAGACACAGAGGGGACAGGAAGAGACACAGAGGGGACAGGAAGAGACACAGGGGGACAGGAGGGGGATGAGGAGAAATGCAGAGACAGAGCATATTACATGTACGCAGAACTGGTTCCAGAGATGAAGTTTCTAATATTTGTGTTTCGCCACCAAACAGCCATAAATAGAAGGACAAGGGAAGGAGAGGAGACAACACAAGATAAAACCTCCACAGCAACAAGAGGTGGCTTGGCCTCCCACACACATACTTCACAGACTCCACACACAGTCTACACACACCTCCCTATGCACTCCACACACACCACACACACACTTCACAGACTCCACACACAGTCTACACA